TAGTGGTGTTTTATATTTTTAATATAAATATAACCATGTTTATTGATTGTAAGTGTTAGTTTTAATAAGGGCTCCACTCCCGACGCCTCACATCACCGCTTGTATGTCCAATATATACGATAGGGTTTGAGTGGAATACAGACCCGAATGAGACCACAACTAAAGGTATTTGGTTTTCACAACCATTTATTGTCCGCAAAACCGGTGGCGAAGAAGTGGCCATTATTTTGGTGGACACACAGGGCTTGGGTGGAGACGACTGCACACCGCAGGACATGTCAACCATTGTTGGCCTCAGTCTTCTCAGCGCTTCCACTCTTATATTCAATGTTAAGGATGGACTCAGAGATCATGTGTTAAGAGATGTACACTCGTATATCGACCACTGCCTACAGGCCGTGGAGACCAGCGCCGGTAGTGTTGGCTATCCCGGAAGCGAAGGCTACGATCGCAAAACTTTTCAAGACTTGGTATGTGTTTTGCATTAAATTTATAACTTTTAAAATATACGTATATAAGAGTAATGTAAGTAATTAATGGATAGTTATTAACTCTGGGTATAGAGCTATGGATAGAGTGGTCAGCTATGAGTCATAGCCTATGACTAATGCTGATGTCATTAAAAATTAATTAATACAAATTTTTTACCGACAGTTATTTGTGATCAGAGACTGGAGACGACCGGTGCCACCACTAGTGTACGGTCTGGACGCCGGACAACAGTATTTAAACACACGCCTCGAGACAAAAGCCCCGCAACGCAAGTCGGCCCGCAATACCCGTCAGTTTATACGTCAGTGTTTTGCTAATATTCAGTGCTATTTAATGCCCGATCCGGGAGTGAACGCCCGGAGCCAAGAGTTTAAGGGCTGTCCCAATGAACTGACCGATGAGTTTAATGCAAATTTGAGAAATTTTTGTGATTTCCTCGTAAATCCCGATACGATTAATGTTAAGACAATTAATGGCCGACCGATCACTGGACACGAGTTTGGCCAACATTTCGAGGACTATGTAAACATGTTTAACAGCATATCTGGTGCCCGTGATCGTGGTGAGGCCAACCCTCAGACATGCGATATTATTTTGATTAATCAGCTTAAGGTAATTTATTAATTACATTAATTGACTCACACTTATTTAAAAAGTTTTGGTTTTTAATTAACTATTTAACAATATTGTTGAATTGTGGTTAAAACCAATAATTTACATGTAATTAAAACTATTATTAAAATTAATTTTAGGACAAATACACAACAGAGATGTCGGCTCTAATGGCGACGGGTATCTGCGGGCGCCGACTACTGACCACTCAGTCAACCGATTTAATACAATCGTTGAAATCAGAGTTTCTTAAGCGGTCGACCGCCGAGTCTGTGGTCCGGGAACTGACGGATCAGTTGTCCCGCACTCTGGAGACGGCATTTAAACAGAAGGACGAAGAGAATGAGAACCGACGGCTCACACAAACCAACGCTAAAATTACTGAATTGGTCGCAGAGTTTAAGCGCGATATTGGCGGCCATATTAGGCCCGGAGACTACCTGTCCGATCACACTCTGGGTAAAATTATTGACACAAAACGGGAGCATACGGTCAATCTGTTTGACGTGTTTGCCAGAGATGACCCGGATCTGTTCGCCGAACACAAACATCGAGTTAGTGAATTGTTATATTTATTAATTAAGTATAGTTACTTGAATTTAAATTATTAAGTATTTTACTTATATTTCATTTGACAAAATAGTTATTAACTCAATTGAAAAGCGAGGGAAATGTGTTTAAGTGTAATAACAGTCGAGCCATACAGGAGTTGAACACCCGATACGAGACCATTACCACATCATTCATGAATAAATTCGATGAGGTGTTTGTTTTTGCCATAATTTAGTTACCATATAATCAGTTTATATCTCATACTTTAATCTATATTAATAATAGAAAATGAATGAGTTGTTTATCGATGAAAATAAGTACTACACCGAAAAACACCTGGACACGTTGAGCGCCACCATATTAGCCGCATTAGTCCGAGAGTTAAACCAGATCGATGTGGGCACAGAATTGGTGCCCATTGAGCCCTACAGACAGGCACTGACCAGACATGTTAAGAGCAAATATAGTAACTATCGACAAATGAACAGTAAGCGCGCCGATCAGGACAAGACTGTAATGACTACAGTCCTAAACAATCTGAACAAACTATACGAAGAAGCGTTGGACGCGTGGATACAATGCACGGACACTGACGACAGGCAACGGTTTCTGGACGAGAGTCGACTCATCCGCACAAGCATTGTGTCCGATAACATACCCATATATGGACAACGGCTGAACCTCCTGGAGCTGAACGCACTGTTCGACACCACTGAACACAATATGGGGTATATATTCGCACAGGAAGTGGACGCCAGATGTACAGTAAAAGACGACTTAGTGGTGAACCGAGCGATGCAATGGTATAACCGGGAGATGACGAAAGAGTACGGCGACCGGTCGTACATACGGCGCGACCGGTTGCGCACTATTCATGAGAAACTGTTGGCCGTCGCTGCGGATCTATTCCAAAAGGACCAAGCTCACAGAACGCCCGATGAGTTTAAAGAACTAATGGCAGATAAACTAAAGACAGTCTACGATATGGTGGTCAACGAAAATAACCGCAACGCACCCACAGTGCCGGCCATTGGCATAGATTTGGGCACAACCAACAGCTGTGTGGCCTATTATAGACCGGGCAGTTCGGGTCAACCGGGGAAGATTATAGTGTGCCGTAACACCGAGTCTAACACCGATGTGACCCCGAGTTGTGTTGAGTACGGAGACTACGGGGAGGTAGTGGTGGGCGAGAAAGCGATGAATAACTTATTAGCCAATCCTCGGAATACTATTTATTCGGCCAAACGTATGATTGGCCGCAAGTTTAACGACCCGTACGTTACCAGATATAGAGAGTACTGGCCTTTCCGTGTCGTCAATATAGACAACTACGCCGGCGTTGAGGTGGAAGTGGACGGCGAGTCGCGACAACTGTTGCCCGAAGAGGTGTCGGCCAAAGTGTTGAGCAAAATGAAATCCGTAGCCGAGCGTGACTTAGGACACCCCGTAATCGATGCTGTCATTACAGTTCCCGCATATTTCACTGACGCCCAGCGCGAGGCCACCCGAAGCGCCGGTATTATGGCCGGTCTTAATGTATTATCTATTATTAATGAGCCCACGGCTGCCGCCCTCGTATATAAACTCGATCGATTTGAAGATACCAGCACCAGGTGAGTTTCACTTTGTTTACAGAGTGACAGTAACACTGTGTTACTAATGACTAATATAGCAAATACTAAATATCAAAATATTTAGACAATATTTACGAACATTAATGATTAATTTTAAAGGACCGTGTTGGTGTATCACTTTGGCCGGGAGTTTCATGTGTCCATATTGCGCGTGTCGATGGGTGAGGTACACGTACTGGCAGTAAACGGCGACGACTACTTGGGCGGCGATTATATCGACCAAATTATTATTGAACATTGTTTGAGTGAGTTTTACTCACAGACGGGTGTTCTGGTGGACCGGGAGTCATGTGAGGGCAAGCGGGGGATGAGAGCACTCCGGGACCGATGCCAACGTGAGAAGTGGCGTCTGTCCGAAGTGACCACCGCTACCATTGCTGTGGACAACATCGCCGACGGCCGCGATCTGTCGGTGGAGTTGACTCGACAACGCTTTGAGATGTTGAACAAACCTCTGTTTGAACGTACGATAGATTGTGTGACCCGTACTCTGATGATTGTCAACGATGGCGCCGGTATGACACCCGACCAGATCGACGATATAGTACTGGTCGGCGGCTCGACGTATATTCCGTACGTCAGGAATATGATCAAAGAGTACTTCAATGGCCGCCAACCGTTACAGTCTGGAAACCCTATGTACGCCGTGGCTGCGGGCGCGGCACTACAGGTCACTATTGTTTTGTAAATTTTTATGTTATGTATTTTAAATGTATTCAATTTTTGGTAATTAATTACTTTGATTATGAATACAAAAAGGCGGCGATTCTGAACGGCAATAACGCCCAACGGCTCCGACACTTGCAGGTACAGGACGTGACGCCATACACTCTGGGCATAAAATCTGTGGGCAATGTGATGAGCGCTATCATACCGGCCCAAACTCCGGTGGATGGCATTCCCCGCAACAAAGTATACCCAACTCGAAGGGACAATCAAACCGAGATCGAGGTAGAGGTGTATGAGGGCGAGGACGCGGTGGCCACCAATAACACCCTTCTGGGAAAGTTTGTAGTGACGGGTATACCCCCGGACCGGGCGGGCAAACAAAAGGTGTCAGTTGAGTTTTGCGTCAATGATGAGGGCATATTGAAGGTCAGGGCTGTTGTGCTCACAACGGGTGTGACCCACGAGTTTGCAGTGAACGAACATAAAGGCCGCCTATCAATGGAAGAGTTGCTCCGCCGCCGCCTTCACTGAATTCTCATATTTGTCATCATTTTTTGGTTAACTATATATGTTTTGCTTATATTAAACTGCGGTTAACTTGATTTACTTAATTTTGTTGATTACACTTTGTAATAAGTTGTTATTACAAATAACTATTTACCCGTATATTATTTTTCATTTTAATATTGTACTAATTACTTTTAATTATAATTATAATGAATCTGATATTTTAAATTTATTACTTGTTTTTAATAGCATTTTAATAAATATATATAACTTTATAAATATAAGACTTATATTTCACATTGTATTTGAAAATTTAATAAAATGCAAAACATTAAGAATCTTAATTTAAGACATTTGACTAGTCTAAAGTAGTCCAATACTGTATTGGAACATGTATTTAAATACAAAATAGGACTTATTTTTAACAAATATTATTATACTATTAATTAATTAAATAAATTCAATTATGTCTATATTTGCTTGGTAACACTTAATTATAACGAGCTTTAATTATGGTCATACAATTTATTAATTTAAATAAAGAATGCTCTCAATGATATCAAGTACACATGTATTATTATTATTATAGTGATTACATAATTTATGCAATAAAATAGTAATAAAATAAAACATAGACACCTGGCAATTATAACTTATTATTAATAAGTTAAGTTATTATATTGATGCTATGAATAATAATATAATTATAATTTTCATAACCTATTTTAAAATTTTTATAAAACAGGTAAATATCGCTTATAATGAGTTTAATTTCTAGCTGGTTATATTTTTACATAATTATTTATTAATTAAAAATCATACAATATGTATAAAATAGTATGCATTAAGGATACCACCTTGGACACACCATATATATTATATATTATGTAAACTAACACAATATAAATGATATTAATATAGGAAATTATTTCCTTTTTCATGTTTGATAAGATTACAGTATGTTATGACTACATTGTAAAAGCAATACTAAATTATGTTAATGCTGTGAATATTAGTTAAATAAACACAAAATACATTTAACAACAAAATAAGTATTATATTTCATATATTTCATTGAATTTATTTTTAATAATTATCAGTAATTTCTAACAAACAGTGAAACCGTTGAATGAATCATAATCTTAATAATAAATAATTTACAAAAATAGCAATCTATTTTAAAAGTGAATTTGTTAAATAATAATAATAATCACAAATTATAAATAAATAAAATGGATCATGAAGAGGTTAATGAGAACCTGGGTCAGACAGATTGTACCACGGACAACATTACTCATACCAAATGCGGTCATGTGCTTAGTGAATACAACAGCTTGACCAACAATGAACCTGATCAGTTTGTCACTCCACACAATCAAATAGTAAATTACCTTGAAGTTGTAAATTATTTAAAATAACTTTAACTAATAAACATAAAATTCTAATTAAAAATAGTCTTTAAATCAATTGGAAACCGAAAATAATGTTAATACAAGTTCAGAAGCACGGGAGCTGACCGCCCAATACGAGACCATTACCACCTCGCTCAAAACTCAATATAATCAAGTTTGTTTTTGATAAGAATTATACTATGAATATAATTTATAAAAATATACAATACAGTATAATACTACTTTTAAAACTATTTAAACTGCAGAAAATGAACGAGCTGTTCGCTGACCATGGCAAATTCTACGAACACGATCACCTGGACACATTGAACAACACTATACTCTATTCGTTAGTCAATGACTTAACTGAGACAGACGTGGGCTCGGATGCCGTGCCCATTGAACCCTACAAACAGGCGTTGTACACATACGTGAGGGACAAGTATCGGGGCTATAGTGAGATCAACCGTTTGCTGTGGATCACAACCATATTGAATAATTTGGACAAACAATACGAGCACGAGTTGAACGCCTGGATAGAGTCCGTGGCAACCGATGCCGACGACGAGCCCCGATATGTGGACGAGAGTCGACTCATTCGCACCCGTATTGTGTCGGAAAATAGCCTCATTTATGGCGAGCGGCTGGACCTCCAGGCGCTGAACGCCCGGTTTGACGCCACACACGATCGCTTACGCCGGGCATTAGCCGACTCGGAGTACGGCCGGTACCGGGCTATCGATACTATTGTCGAGCGGGCCATACAGTTGTATAAGCGAGAGATGGACAGGGATTCCGAATACTGGCCGGGCATACGGCCCGACCGGTTGGACGAGATTAATGATGAGCTAATGATGGAGGCGGTGACCCGGTTCAGTATCGACCATAGTCATATGTCTTTGGACACATACACCGGCTTGGTTCGCAATAAATTACAGCTGGCCTACGATACTGTAATGAGCGCACCCACCGGTCCGGCTGTTGACCTTCATGTGAAAAGCGTAAACAGTAGGCCAATAATTATTCAATTTATATATACAGTATTAAAAAAACCCACGTTATGTTTATGTTAATTTAGTCATATTTACCTTGTCACAAAATTAAAACTACCTATTTAGGTATAATTATTTAATATAATATTATTGATTAATTACAGTATATATGGTGGAAAGATCAATCGAGTTAACCACGAAGAAATATCGGGAAATATTTGACCGGATATTGAAACTAAAATATTACACGCCCTCCGATTTGAAGTGCATTCACTCCATATTAAAGTTTGAATGCATTGCAACTCTAAGTAAATCGCTCCCATTGGCCGACATTCTAAATGAGCTTAAACAATTTTGGATTATTGACTGCCAAGGGCAATTATATAACATTTATCAACAAATTTACATAGATTACACGGAAAGAACTTTTGGCTTAAACTGTAATATTGGGGCAGATATTGTCGATAATTGGTTATGCCGTCTCCCACATGTTGAGTCGGCTGAGGGCGACGGCATTGGCATCGATGAAACACCCGTTGCGATCGATGAAGAGGCCGTCCGTGAGTTTCGCCAATTGGTGGCCGATATCGGGCGCCGACTCACAGACTGTCAGACAATTGCAACCAAAAAGCGTATACTTTATGCAAAACTCAAGAATTGCGACGAAATTGTGGCCACAGATGGACAACGAGTAGAGGAACAGCGGATTGAGTTGTTTAAAATGATCGACACGTTTAGGTTAAGAGACAAACTAATTATTGAATAATTTTGTTTTTACTTTGCCTAAAATATATAAGTCCTACTCGATGTGCTATTTTTTTGTTTATAAATATTATAAATATAATTTTAAAATAAAATTAAATAACACATGATTGGTTTATAACAAAATAACATTTAAACTTTAATTATTACTTATTAATTACAATTCAACTAGATTAATATAATAAATATTTTTGTAATTTAATTTAAAATTTATATTTCTAATATTTGACATTCTTTATTTTTAAAAAACGTTTGCTCTCTCTCTCTCTCTCTCTCTCTCTCTCTCTCTCTCTCTG